TATGTACATAGACCCATAGGAGCTGAGTGTATGTTTTGTTGTACAACTGGGATTGCAAAAACAGTTTCCCCACCTATGCATTCAGAGGCACCAACTTCTTCAGAGGATTGGGGCCCCTGGTGTGACATCATGTGACATCCTCTGAATATTGAGGGTGGCCCAGCACCCTCAAAAAATATTCAGGGAGCCAAAACTGCCTTGGCCCCTAGGAGTCATGATAGAAATCCTGATCTACAACCAGATGAATAAGAGTGGTTTGTGCACCTTGTTTGAGTGCCACCACACCACACCTCTACGAGTAAAAAATGAGAGGGGCAATTTCCAATGGGAGGTGCAATTGCCACTGTCACTTCATGACAGAAAAGGCTGTGGGAGAAACAGAAACTCCCTCACACACTCTTGGACTGTTGTGCAAAATGGTTGGTTCAGGTGAATCCCTTACTGCCCACAAAGAAGCTCCTATGAGAAAATAACACTTGGTTTTCTGTTAAAGATGCTGGCAAAATTTGAAGTTTTCAAATGCTTCTTCTAAATGTCATTTTTTAATTGGTGGGGTTTTCTCCACAAAGATTCCCCTAGAGCAAAGCTTTTGTATGCTTCATGTTAATCCTGCCCAACCTCTGGGGACTTGCTGCTTGCCTTAATTGGGGGGGGGGGTAAAGTCACTTCCTTTGTTATCATTAATAAAAGGAAAGAGTGTAAACATATTGGTGAAGACTAGATAACTTGAAACTCATGAGTGGCTTTGTATTCAGTGCACCTAAAAGGCGTGACAGAGTTAAAACGCATATCCTTGTCACAGGCAAAGGACAACGGGTTAAACTGAGAGCTAGGCTTCTTTGCTCAGTCTCACTGCAAATTCTCTAATCCCCAGCTAATCAGTGTATATTTTTCTATTTTTATATCAGTGGTTGTCTATTCCCACAGCTATCTTTACTGACTAAAATATTTGCTTTGGCAACCAACTTTGCTCTACACATATTTGCGATTTGGGTTGTTGTTTTTTCTCATTCTGTTCGATAATAAAAGTTGTGTGTAATTTTCAGGTTTGCATACGTTTCTATGTTTGCTTACGTTTCTATATGATTCTGTATAGTAGAATCTATTACACAGCATATCTTAAAAGTGCATATACTCCCCTCATTGACTAACATCAGTTTTGAGGGATAGGTTGGAGTGCTTTCTTCACTGAGGAAATGACTTGAGATGGAATGAGTTAAACACCCTTCCACAGTGCCATTGCTAGAATCAAATTTGGGATACTCAGTGTCTGTTTTAAAGTAAACAAACATACAGAAAACCCAAGGAAAAAACAATTCCTCTATCAGATTATGGATCTCCAACTTCTTGTCTGGCCTCTAGCAGCTGATAAACAGAGCCCAATTGAAAACAGGCCTGTGGAGCCAAATGAAAAACAGATCTGAAACGCTTTCCCATTTTTTTTATCAGGTTTGTGTTTTGGATTTGTATACACATTTTGTCTCCAGTTATTGGTAAGCCCCACACCAAAATGTTTACAATCATGTACTAATCAAGCACATAACTGAAAGGATAGCGTTACAATAGCAGCAGCATTTTTTTCTGTTTAGGGTCTTCTGCACCATAAATTTAAACCACTTTGATACTGCTTTAAAATGGGTTTAATTGGCATGGTTTGCCCCCAGCAACTAGCAATGCTAGTTTTGGCGCTGGGGGTGAAGTCCTTTTCTTTTGTGCCCCTTCATAGTACCACATTTCCCAGGTTACCTTGGTTGGGCACCAACCACATTGGAAACTAGTTTAAATTTGGAGTCACGAATATGTTTTCTGTGTTTAAACTTCACCAACATACCTCAAAGGGATATAAGTACAAATTAAATTGGGACTTATAAGTATGTGTATCTACCTCACAGAAAGTGTCTTAATAAATTCAAAGGAGACATTTGTGTTTTTAATTTCATGTCTGTTCCTTTTAGCTGTTATTAGGCCACAGTACCATTTAGGTGCCATCGTTATGGTTTTGTTTATTTATACTGCTGAGAATGTATTGCAGCATGGGCAATGCGTGGGAGGAAACCATGACACCCACAGGTTTCCACTACGTGGGATCACATGCTGCAACTTGTGGTTAACCGGAGGAGCTCCGGACTTGCAAAGCGAAACAAAACTTGCGTGCTAATCCTTTCCCTTTGTGGCTAAGTAGGCGTGTCGGGGACTCTAGGACTTGAAACCGGAACAACCTCAGTTGGAACGTACAACAGCACTCTCTCTCTCTCTCTCTCTCTCTCTCTCTCTCTCCGTGTGTGTTTATGTGTGTGTTTCCAAACCTTAGAGCCCTCTCCAGGCACTAAAGACAACCAGGCAGTAAAAACAACAGTCTCTGCAGGATGTATGACACCACTAGAATGACCAGATCTAGGCTGTGTACACCTAATTGGCTTGAAATGCAACTCTTTTTCTCAATTCAGATTGAAGCTAGTGTGGGGCAAATGAATCAAAATCCAGTGCTTCATAAGACATTGCACAGTGGATACAGGATAGATATGGATTGTGGCTAGTCCAGAATATATACCATTTCTCAAGATCATAACAGATGTGATCTCCATCTTCTCCTTTTTATTATTAGTTTTTGTTGACTGTTGTTTAAACCAGGGACTAATACGGTGCTTTTAGCAGTAAATGTACTAATACCCACCCACTTTTACAGTTCATCCCCTACACATTAAGCATCCTATTCTATTTATATCAATATATACCTGGTTTTATCTCAATAAAGATAAATTTCAGATTTCTTAGGATCTATGAAAAGACTAACATCAAACTTTGAGCAAGAGCTTCTCAGAACACAGCCCACATGATATGGTAGGATTAGTTTATCAATAAAGATTTAGCAGATACAGGACTAGCCTTATTAATATCATATCCTTTTCCTGATACAGGAAAGATCTCTTTTATGCATGTTCAATAAAACTGAATGACCCGCATCTTACTCCACTTACATTTTTATTTCCTGGTATGTACACCTGGATTACCGTCTTGCTGTCCTCCATATTTCTATGTAAGTGTGCAGGACGATAGCCTTAGCAGGATGTGACACTAAACACATTGATAAAAAGGTGTGGGGAGAAGGTAATGCTTCGCTCTCCAGCCACAAGCCTGATCATTCAGTCCAGACACTGAAATCCTGCTCCGAGGGCCTTCTGTGGTTCCCCCATTGTGTGAAGTGAGGTAACAGGGAACCAGGCAGAGGGCCTTCTCGGTAGTGGCGCCTGCCCTGTGGAATACCCTCCCATCAGATGTTAAACAGATAAACAATTATCTGATATTTAGAAGACATCTGAAGGCAGCCTTGTTTCAGGAAGTTTTTAATGTTTGATGTCTTAACTGTGTTTTAGTTTATTGGAAGTTTCCCAGAGTGGCTGGGGCAATCCAGTCAGATGGGTGGCATATAAATAAATTATGGTGATGATGGTGATGATGATGATGATGGTGATGCAGGAATGCTTCAGCATTATCTAGAAATATGCTATTACTAGGATCAGGCAGAGAATAAGGACGGTACAGTAAACCGAAAGGTCCCTATTTTTATCTGCGACGTGCTGAAATGTTACTAAAGTTTACTAGATGGGGCAAATCAAATATAGGCAATTAAATATCTCAGTAATAATAATAAAAAGTAAGAGGGGCTAAAGAGAGAACAAAGGAAGCAGGAGAAGCAGGAAAGAAAAGTGCATGGGGAACAGTCTAAAAAACAAAGACAAAAACAAGCTTCAAAGCTAGAGCAAATAAAGCTGTTTTAAGAAGAGCAAGGAATCGAAGAGAAATTTGACCAATGCAACAGCAATGATTAAAGGGTTGGAACTCATGAGAAAAATTGCTCGGTGTGTCTGGGTGTGTTTAATATAGAGAGAGGAAATTTAAGGGGAGCCATAATAGCAGTTTTCAAGAGTCTAAAAGGCTGCCTTGAAGAAGAGGTTGAACAAATGTTTCTTGGGCTCATTCCCTGGCATTATTACAGAAAAGCAGATCTAGGTCTAGAAACTCTCCATGAATCGATAAAGTGCACTCTTAGTCTATAAGGTTCCACAAGAACCTTTGCTGTTTTTTCCACCTTTTAAATATCACTGAACTTTTTTTTTAAACAGACATCCCCCCCCAATATGTCCCGCATTGACACCTCCAGAAAACATATTTAATGCTTCTAAGGAGGACTACAAGTTTTAATCAGTTTAATTGCTTGATGACACAACTCAGACTTCAGATTCAATAGGGGTTATTTTAATTGTTGAGGATGACTTTAAATTAGTTGTACAGCAAATTAAACATTTCTTTGTCACTTTGAGGCTATAATAGTTTTTATGTATTAGGGGAAGGAATTAAAAAATAATAATACCCAGAATGACCTTTCTAAGAACAAATGCTACTTTTTTTTTGTTTGTTGCATAAGGAAATGTAAGATTACCAAAATATAGGTGGCCTTGCGGTAGGTCCTCTGCTGGGTTATGGAAGTGAGATGGTGCAGCTGTGGATTCTAATTCCCCTCTTTGAGACTGTACCCCTGGTTTTGAGAGGCGAATCGGCCTTAGTCCTCTTCTTTGTGTGGCCTACTGTTGGATTGGACGCTGGGCCACTTTGGAGTTGGTGGTACTCCTAAGGTAGACTGTGAATGTCCCACATCTGTGATTTTTGTTCCTCTGAATCTCTGTGCAAAATATCTGGGACTGGGTCATGACACGCACAGCACTATCAAATGTCAGTGCTACATATGTGTTTACTGAATGGAAAGCTGGCCCTTCAAACATTCGCGAACTATTCACAGTTGATGAGCAAAACTTTGAATGTTGGGAAGTTTCAAATCTGAGTGGTTTTTGCTTTTAGCATCAGCCGCAGTTGCCAGCCACACACCCATTTTGAAATAAAACCAAATGCTTGAAAACAAAACCTATAAATATAAGGTGGATAACAGAAAACAGAACTTACTTTACATTTCTTTACAGCAGCATTGCACGGTGGTTCTGCCATCCAGACCTTTCAAGGCGGTGGACTAGGAGCTATTTCCCTCTGCAGTTTTTGTCATCGATCTTGCCACCTTCTCCTTTAAAATAAGGTGAGTACCAAATTAGTGTTTGGGTTCTTCCGACATGTTTCTCCAAACCTAGATAAATACTGCCTTCTGTCTAGTTTTGTTTGAAGAGAGATGCTTGTAGTATTTTCCAGTCAGTTTTTGGAAACTGCCATTTTATTGTGTTGCTGAAGTTCGATGTTACATTGTTCCAAACACTGTTGTCATGGTGGATGAGTTTTGAGAACTCTCAGTGGATGATGATGATCATGGTGATTTAATAAATTTATATATTTAAATTATGGAATGTCACAAACCCAGACCAAGTAAAAGATCTCTTGGACAGTTTTGTTTTATTTTTATTTATTTTTTTAAAAAACAGTTACATAGGGTGCTCATGAGTTGCAAACAGGTCAACTGGCATCCTTAGGGGTGGTGACTATTGATGTGGGAAGTTTATAGCTGGAATTCTATCTTCTTCTTCTTTATCCCCAAGCAGCAAATTTCCACAGAAAACCCGAGTGACTACAGTGGTACCTCGGGTTAAGTACTTAATTCGTTCCGGAGGTCTGTTCTTAACCTGAAACTGTTCTTAACCTGAAGCACCACTTTAGCTAATGGGGCCTCCCGCTGCCATCACACCGCCAGAGCATGATTTCTGTTCTTATTCTGAAGCAATGTTCTTAACCCGAGGTACTATTTCTGGGTTAGGGGAGTCTGTAACCTCAAGCGTATGTAACCTGAAGCGTATGTAACCCGAGGTACCACTGTATTTCTATTGGGTTATTTTGGCTCTGCCATCCCTACAATAATCTCAGGTGGCTACTTCAGTTAGTCCCTCAATGTTTTTGTATTTTGCTTTAGGTCTCATTGTATAATGGGTTGGCCATCTTAAACTGTGATTTACTCTAAGTATTATCTGATGTTGTTTGGTTCCATTATGCCTTTACTTGAGATGGGTGAGTAGCAGACTTGGTGCAGGAGTGCTAAAATGTAGCAAGAATGGTGATATTGCAAGAATGCATGCCATTCTTCAAAGCAAGCATATCAACAAGACTAGGAGGACAACACAAACATGTCAACAAGACTAACTCTGGAAACTCAAAGGCAGCCATTTTCTCCCTTTAAGAGAACTATTTTCTGTCGTTTTCAGCAGGGAGGGGGAAACCTTGTGTTTTATGAAGCAGAACAAATAGCAGCTAATAAAATGAAATGGTGCTTATTTTGAATAAGTGGGAAGTTATAGTAGGAGCATAAATTGCTGGTGGTTTTGACACCTTTCATTCACTTTGTGATTCCAAGTTAGTCTGTGGTTTCGGAGCTTGTGAACACCCACACTATCCTTTTCTCCCTGATAGGGACTAAATGCAGCTTACAGATAAAAAAGCCCTCCAAGCTTAAGTTTCATTTTCTTTCCTGGAAACTGGGTATGCAGCTGCTCTAGTAATTTATTGGATTTATCTATTTACCTTTCTTCCGGGTGCTGCGAGCAATTCACACTCTGGATCTTGGGGAGACAGAGGGCAGATATCCAGTTACTGTGTGCCTTCCAGCAGCAGGCACAACACACCACTGTGTCCATTTTGCTGGCACGCCCAGTTCTCCACTAGCTGGCACCCTGTTCCTTTCCATCAGGGAACAAGGGTGCTTTGGTACACCGTGCATCTTTGCTATTGCTTATTATGGGACTGAACTACAAATGACACTTTACCACTGAGAATTAGGTTTCATCCACACTAATTTTCCTCTGTGCTTTCTAGGCTTCCACTGGACCCTCTGAATGTTCTTTTTGGTCACTTGTAAACTTCTTGAAGGTTTTGCGAAGAGGAGTCCTCAAAGGGCCTGGTTGATTTCCCTGGGTGAGCACCAGGCTTCTCACCCATTCTTAACTGCAGTTGATGAGCCTAAAGTAAGGCAGTTTTATAGGTTCAGGTACTTGAAGAGTCCTAGGGCTTGTGACCCCACCCCTAGGGCCCACTTCCCAGATCATGAGCCTAGTAAGTGTGTAGCTTTTCAAGCACATTCCTCCAAAAAATAGATATTCATGAGCATATGATAATAACCTCTGCCACAATGTGGTGTTAATGGCAATCTGTGACGACCACAGGAGGCATGAACTGCAACCTTACAATGACCCTTTATATGTATTTTCCTATCAAAAGATTTCACAATACATATCTGGGTTTTTGTAGGGATGTGCATTGACAGGCATAATTAGCTTGAAAGAGGTAATTACAGCAGCGTTGCCTCTGCCTTGGTCCAAACATAAAATTAATGATGCACAATACAGCCTTATATGTGCCTCGTGTACTGTTGGGAGTAGATAGTTAATGGTTTTGAAAAAATATAAACACATATCCCAAAACCCTTCTCTGATACTGAGGAACTACATATGGTAGAGCTTTAAGACAGGCATAGGCAAACTCGGCCCTCCAGATGTTTTGAGACTACAATTCCCATCATCCCTGACCACTGGTCTTGTTAGCTAGGAATGATGGGAGTTGTAGTCCCAAAACATCTGGAGGGCCGAGTTTGCCTATGCCTGCTTTAAGATAAAGAGCTGAACTTCTCAGGACATGCAGTCAACTCAAAGATTCCACATGCAACAGCACACAGGAGTGAAGATCTGCACACTGTCCCATGTCACACATGATCTTTGCATGTGCAAGTGCCTACACAAGAAAGCCCATCTATTGTGAAAAGGGCTTGATGTGATGTTGGGAGCAGGAGCTACTAATCAAAGTATTTATGTGCTAGCATTAAAGGTTATGCTTGCAGGGGGTGGGCAGGTGTACAATCCCTAGCTTGTTCCTGTGCCCTGCCATATAATAGCTTTAATGTCTGAACTATGTGAAGAGAAAGTCCACACTCTCCCATGTGTGCTTCGTTCCTCTCTGTATCTCTTTTTTTACATGTCAGTAGCTACGCACTCCAGTTTTCACTCAGTATTGCCTAGCAATTTCAATTCACATGGTTGTGTTTTTTTATATAAATCTGTCTTCATATTTGCAATATGCTGGTGTACACTTCAGAGTTGCCATGGGAATGGTGCTGAAAATAGCTTCCCATATCAAGCGATCCCTGCCTGGTCTGTAGCATTTAGAAGCACTTGCCAGCAGCCAGAAATGTGGAGTCGATTTGTGATGGCCAATCCCTATACAATGCTCAATAGCTTTTTATATTTGTGAAGGATATGCCTCTATGGGGAGGCCGTTTCAGCAGCATTCCCATGATGACTGTGTGATATTCACTCTGACACTTCAAACTCTGACACCTAGATGTACAAGGGAAGGCCCAAGAATATATGGTTTGACAGTCAAATATGTCTCGAATATTTTATTTGCAATATCAGGCAATTTCTTTTGTTGTTGTTGTATGCTCAACCCCACTCCCTGAGACTCATGCTCAGATAGAGAGAAGTGAGTCAGATCTAGTGAACACTTGGATACCAAGGGAGTGGTTTCCCTAGCAACAGTAACAATGTGAAGTGCTCTTTAGAACTTCCCCTCTGTGTTCATGCCGGCTTTCTCATGTGACATTTGCTGCAATGCTGCAGAGAGCTTGTTTGTCGAAGTTACGGATTCTTTAAATAAGACTTTCCACATTTGGTTTCTCTATTTCCACCCCCTCCCCGCCAATGACTTGCTTTTCAGTGACTGACAAGCTTCCTCTGCTTCCGAAGGACTGGCTTTTCCATTGGACGAATGGAGCATTTGTGCTGCTAGGAGGAAGCAGAAGACTCTCAAATGGAAAATGAAAGAATGAAGGGGGGGGGCAAGGAGCCTGAGAAGAAGGTGAAAGTGGATCACACACAGGTGACAGGACATCCTGACACTTGACCAACTGCCATAGTCGGTAGATTTAAGAAACCATTACTACAACTGGGATGGCAGATATCTAGCATAATTCTGGTTGGTGAATTTGGCTCTCAGTAAGGTCTGCTGGGACGCAGGTGGCGCTGTGGGTTAAACCACAGAGCCTAGGACTTGCTGATTAGAAGGTTAGAATCCCTGCAACGGGGTGAGCTCCCGTTGTTCGGTCCCAGCGCCTGTCAACCTAGCAGTTCGAAAGCACGTCAAAGTGCAAGTAGATAAATAGGTACCGCTCCAGCAGGAAGGTAAACGGCATTTCCGTGTGCTGCTCTGGTTCACCAGAAGCGGCTTAGTCATGCTGGCCACATGACCCGGAAGCTGTACGCTAGCTCCCTCGGACAATAAAGCGAGATGAGTGCTGCAACCCCAGAGTCAGTCACGACTGGACATAATGGTCAGGGGTCCCTTTACCTTTACTAAGGTCTGCTGTAATTGGCAGAAATCTTTCTGAGCCTTACCTGAAGATACTGAGGATTACACCTGAGACCTTTTACATGCAGATGATCTCATGGGAAGGGAAGCTCAGAAGGGGTATGGAAAACTACTCCTCATCTTCCTTTTGAGGTTATTTTAGGTTACGCAACCAGGAATGTTGTATCTATCCCACAAATATTAACTAGTTGCTTTTCTCTCTCTCCATGTTAATGTCTCTGGAGCAACGTATCAAATAGATAAAGTTAACCTGAACTGGGTTGTGAAAGCCAGTGTGGTGTAGTGTCCAAAGTCTTGGGCTAGGATCTGAGAGACCAGGGTTGAAACCCCCACTCAGCCCTGAAAATCACTGAGCGACCTTGGACCAGTTCCTGCCTCTCAGCCTAACCGACCCAGTGAGAATAAAATGAATAGTGGGAGAACCATATACACCACCTTGAGCTCCTTGGAGGAAAAGTGGCATATAGATGTAATAAAAACAAATAAAATATATGTAGTTACAGGCCACAGTGACCAATAATGATGTCTGGTGGGGGTACAGCTCCATTTACACTGGCATTTCTTAATTGCAAACTTTGGAAAGGTCACAAGGGGGGGGAATTAGTGACTGCTTTGCATGTGTGAAAATGGGCTTTTAGCCTTTTACTCACGTGAACAGTTAATTTACTAGGACAATTTTATGAGGAGTTGTTGAACAACTATTATTCCCTCTTGCACTCTGCATCGTCTGTCTGACCTCTC